ACACTGCCGCTGACCTCTTGGCCACCGAACACACCTTCAAATATCCCGATTCCTATGACTGGTGTATCGGTTGGAAAGGCTTTTTCAAATGGAGGCAATTAGTGCAGAAAGATCAAAATAATAATTAGTTAGTAATGTTATATAGATAAACAATAATATAATAATTATTTGTGATAAAAATTTAACGAAATGACTATAGATTAAAATAAATTATTTGTGTAATTGAAAAAACTTAGTCTTTGGTTAAAAATGGATATATTCAAATTATAAAATAAATATAGAATTATGCACTAGATTTTGTTTATAAACTTTACTTTTTAAATACTTTATGTATTAAATATTTACAATTAATATGTCAAAAGTAAAACTTAATTGTAATTTAAGATTTCAAATATTTCTTTTTATTACGTATCGTAACGTAACTCTAACATTGATAATTTTAGTTACCCACAAATGGATTACTGTTAAAGTGTTCAACATTTATATAAAACACTCTAAACTGTAGTCTAAACTACAGGCGCTTAAAGTAACGTTCTAATACTCCTAGCCTTGAAAATGCCAAAACTTGCATAGAGTAATGACTATGTATCAATACTAATTTTATTGACTTGAGTCGTTACTCTATGCAAGTTTTGGCATTTTCAAGGCTAGGAGTATTAGAACGTTACTTTAAGCGCCTGTAGTCTAAACTGTACTAAAACTGCAACATTAGATAAATCAATGCAAAACTACAGCATGACATTGAATGTTGTTAATTAACAACGTTTATTAAACGACGAGTTTTCACCACTTACAGTAATCACTTATATACAAAGGAGGATCGGCAGATCTGTAATGGGGTTTGATAAGATCTGTAATGGGTACATAGGTTAGCTAGTTTTTAGAATATTTTTTACAAATTAAGAGCGATTTGTTGTATTACATTGAACTACGTCAAATATGGAGTAAATTTGTCTTTTTCATATGACCATCCGACCTCGTGTTTAGCCGCAGTGGCAACTTTTAGCAACAATTTTAACTTATCTAATATTAACATATTATATATGAAATCAATGTAGAATTTAGCGTAGAATTAGAATATCGTAATATCTTCTCGATAGGGTGCATAGATTTAATGTAATTTCAGTTTATTTTTGGTCCGCGATTAGTGGTGATGACTATTGGGTCAAAAGTGCTGCAGGTGGCCTGGGGATGTGTGTGATGTTGATGTAGATAGTAGGGGTTAAGGAATAATAGGTTATTTTACTAATTTTATCTAAAATTCAGCAGTTTTAAGTAAATAACATGAGATCTATTGACCGCACCGATGTGATATTGTCATATTCAAGTTCTACATTAAATTCTAGATCGATTTCATATAAGACATGTTAGTATTCAATAAGTTGAATTTCCCCGATAAAAGTGGTCACTGCGGCCGAACCCGAGGTGGCTCAGCAATATGGACTATATCAGAGGACTCCCTATTCTATGTAGATTCATGTTATATGGTCAAATCCCGATTGCCAACTGGGCCTAATTTGCCGATCCTCCTTTAAGCACATTGTTGAAAGTGTGTTAAGCAAAAACATTGTGCAATATATAAAACATCTATAAATACTGTGGTTAATAAAATCACAAAGTTATAAATTTATTTTAACTTGTTCATAATTTTAAATTTAAGCTATCAGAGCGAATACAAATAGAATGAGTGAGCAAGGTAAAAAACAACCATCACTACTGTTCACACCATTGACAATACGCGGCGTAACACTCAAGAACCGCATAGGAGTGTCACCGATGGCCACGTGGAAAGCGGTGGACGGTATACCCAACGACTTTCACGTGATGCACTATGGTTCATTTGCCCAGGGTGGTGCCGGACTGGTCATGGTAGAGGCTACGGCAGTTGAGCCCCGGGGCCGTATGACACCGGCAGAAACATGTATCTACAATGACGAACAGGTAGAGGGGTGGCGCCGAGTTACCGCCCTGATCAAATCGTTGGGTTCAGTGTCGGCCATACAAATCTTTCATGTGGGTCGTAAAGGCTCGGTGCCGGCCAACTGGAAAGACTTTAACCAATCGTATTTGTCAGATGATCAGGGTGGTTGGTCTGTCATAGCTCCCAGTGCTATACGATTTAATGATAAGCATAGAGTGCCCAAAGAGGCCACACTTGAGGACATAGAAGTACTGCAACAGGCGTTTGTGTCGGCGGCCGTCCGAGCGATTAGCGCTGGCTTTGAGGTATGAGTTATATAAACATTCGTAATTGAGTTATTGGGTTAATAAATAGAATGCGAAAGTTGCTATATAAATTATATAATATAATGTTTAATTTTTAGTGTTTTAATTAGAAATTTAAAATTGAATTTCTCAAAATAAATGCATAAACTATTAAAATTATTGCATATTATTTCAAAATAAGTGTATATTGAAAATTTATTTAAATTTTGTTTATTATCTATTTAGGTGATTGAGTTACACTACGCTCATGGATATTTAGTAAACCAATGGTTATCGCCGGCCTGTAATCAACGCACCGACCGATACGGCGGTTCACTCGAAAATCGGATGCGCTTCGGTTTAGAGACGGCCCGTCGGGTGCGGGAAGTGATCCCCAAATCAATGCCACTGTTTGTGAGGATTTCGGTCACGGATTACGCGGACAACGGATGGGATGTCAACGACAGCGTAGAGTTCGCCAAACAGTTAAAGGCTGTGGGCGTCGATGTCGTCGACTGCAGCTCCGGAGGTGTCGTCAGTGGTATTATGTACACTACACTCAACCCATCGGAAATACAGCACAAGGCCTCGGCTCAGATCCAACGCGAGGCCGGTATCGCCACTACAGCTGTCGGTAAAATCATTGACCCCTTGAAGGCCGAGGCGTTGCTTCAGGACAACAGCGCGACACTCATATTCATAGGTCGGGCGCTACTAAACAACCCTCACTGGCCATACACTGCCGCTGACCTCTTGGCCACCGAACACACACAATGCCACTGTTTGTGAGGATTTCGGTCACGGATTACGCGGACAACGGATGGGATGTCAACGACAGCGTAGAGTTCGCCAAACAGTTGAAGGCTGTCGGCGTCGATGTCATCGACTGCAGCTCTGGGGGTGTCATCGATGGCGTAAATTATGGATTATTAAATTCACCGGAAGTACAGCACAAGACCTCGGCTCAGATACAACGCGAGGCCTGTATTCCCACCACAGCTGTCGGTAAAATCGTTGACCCCTTGAAGGCCGAGGCGTTGCTTCAGGACAACAGCGCGACACTCATATTCATAGGTCGGGCGCTACTAAACAACCCTCACTGGCCATACACTGCCGCTGACCTCTTGGCCACCGAACACACCTTCAAATATCCCGATTCCTATGACTGGTGTATCGGTTGGAAAGGCTTTTTCAAGTGGAGACAGTTATTGCAGAATGATCAAAATAATAATTAATTTTATTTATTTGTTTCTACTTAAATTTAATAAATTTTACTAACATTAGAAAAGTGATCGACGATAATTTTAATTATAAATAATTGTTTTGCAAATATACACTAATTCATATCGCAATCAAGCGTTTAATTTTTATAAACAAACTTGATTTAAAAATTATCCTGGATCATTTTCCCAATTTTTGTATGATTTATTTAGATAATAGACAAATTAACAACATTTAGTGTTATTCAAGTAAACAGAGACAAAGTTAATGTAATATAAATAAACGAATTTAGCTTTTTGAAAAAGTGATAAATTCAAAATAATACTGTATTTTCAATAATGTTGTTATTACTAAAGAACTACAACTCTTTAAAATAATACATTTTTTGAATAACTATTTTAAATATATTTCTGACGATTAATCACATAATCTTTAATAATTTTGGGCAGTTTTGCAATACTATTATCCGATTGTATTCTTTGTGAAATTTTCTGTAACTTTTCATTCAATTCCGTATTATTTAACAGACTTTCGATTGCATTCAATAACTCTTCTTCTGAGCACTTGTAGGCATCGAGTTGTATACCAAACCCCTTGTCCTCCACTCTCTGTGCGTTATCGTATTGCTCTCCAAATAGTGGCAAAACAATCATAGGTTTACCAAAATAAAAGGTTTCCGTCACTGTATTGAGTCCGCCGTGGGTTATAATCAAATCAACTAACGGTAAGACTTGGATCTGAGGGACAGACCCCTCGCCCCACATATTATCAGCCAATGAGTACTCGTCATAAAGCGGTCCTTTTGATACAATAAACCTGTGCTTAGATTTGGACAAAATATTCACTAATCTCTTCATATTGTCCACATCTGCCGCACCCATAGATCCCAAGGAAAAATACACCAGTTTTCCCGGTCTGTCCCTCAGCGGCACCGGTATCTCAAACTTCAATTGAATATCTTTACGCATAAAGTTATCAAATCGTATATAATTCTTAGGCAATGGTCTGATATCGAGATAATCTAATTCTAACGGAAAGGCGTATAAAATCAGACAATCAGTGGTTTCAATGAAATGAAATTTAGGCAATGGTTGACAGCCTTTAGAGACAACGTAAGCGTTGAATTGTTTCCACGGCTCGAGTGTTGTGTTTCTCTTTATTTCATAAAATTCTTTCCATAACTTCTTATCCCCAAAAGCGGACAAACCTTTAATTATAAGAAACAATAAAACTTATTCCGAGTAGACCTGCAACTAAATGTCCCTGTTAGATGGAATTTACGGGGGTTCTGGAAATTTACTGGATTTATCTGTTAGCTTGAACTACAGAGAACAGGGAAGTGAAGTTAAATGACAGTTAGGAAATGTTGCAGGTCTTATTTCAAGTTAAAAAAAATCAATTGTATAATTTAAATTATGAAACATTTAGTTTTATTGTGCATTATTATAATTATATAACGAGCACAAACCTGAACTGGGCGGAGGTGCCCTCTCATCATCTACCAAAGTTAGAGTTCCGTTACCACAGGCCCACACATAAGGTATACCCGAACGCATCACTGATGGCAATGACATAAACTGATCAAATACTATAACATCGGGCGCTATTTCAGGCAGCAATTGAGCTATTTGTTGGTCCAGACGTTGAACGGCATCGATCCTATCGGTCCCGCCCGCACCCTTCATGGCTGCCTTTTCCAGTGCCGACTTCGGCCCTATTTTGCCCGCTTTTACCATATATTTGGCTATAGTTTTGACGTCCGGTTGTGGGGACTCGTCGTCCCCTTTTGGTAATAATAGCTCTTGAATGCCGTGAGCGCTAAGCCGTCCCTTCCATCTCTCAGTGACGGCCACTATAGCCTTGTGTCCGTCCCTTACGAGTGCACTCGCAATACCGACGCAGTAGTTGAGCTGACCCTCACCCATAATCGGGATAAATAACACGGTCAATATTGTGGCCATTTGTTTTAATATGTATTGTACAGAATTTAATTAGTGTAAAATATGTTTACTGCTTACAACTCTGTAATAGTAAATGAAATATGTAATAATATGAAGAACATTTCTTATTTATAGTTTTAGTAAAATTTATATAAACAAGTACGCTGTATAGTAAATAATAGTGTAATCTAGGAGCTCCCTGAAAACCTATGATTCAATGTAAACCCATGCAAGTTTACATAGTAAAAATGAACATAAATCGTACCTAGGAATCTTTTAAATCAGCATGATTTCATTATTTTATATGGATTACACTGTAATCCATATAAAATAATGAAATCATGCTGATTTGCAATAGATTATTAGTTTAATTTCAGTGTATGAGTTTTATATAAAGTAATATTAAGCCTTAATTTTATGTTTTATTAAAATTAAAATTATTTATATTTATTAAGGTTTTATTAAAATTATTATTAAATGCTAAACAAAAGTTTAAACCAAGAATTTTGTGTAATTTCCCAAAAACCTTATGAAATATTAAAATACTTATGAATTAAATTTTTACTATAACTATAACAATTTAATTAGAATAAATCTAAAGGTATGTCTTGTAAAAATATAGAAATTAAAAGTTGTTTTTTAAATCTTTTATATTGTTTTTATAATAAAATTTTATTTTTCAAAAAATTTCCTAAAAAATGAAAAATTATTTGTAAATCCTGTTCTAAATGCAAACAAAAATAAATACGAATTCACATTAAAATTTACATGCTAATCAGAACATTTTATTTGTCGTAGATTAATCATTATTTTGTAATATCTTAAAAAATAATTTTTAATTAAAATATTTTCAGAATACCTTTTTTTAATTTCTAACAGAATTTTAAAAATTTATACTACATTTAAAATATGATTTATTTAATATCAATAAGAATAATAAAGTTTACATATTTATGGCAACTTTGATCAATAAATTGCATTTATTTACTTGAGCATGTTAGCTTATATTTTGTAATTTTTAAGGAATGTTCATATCACTGTTGGAAATGTATAGTAATCTGCAATAAATGTTTTCTATTAAATTTACAAACAAATGTACTTCAAATACACTTACAAACAATAACGGGTCCATTAAGTATAAATATAGTGCAAAAATCAAAGATTATAAATACAATTTACTCGATTTTAGTACAAAAAATTATCCCTTTTCATTAATTAGGAATGATACGTTATCCATAATATACACTCATATTCAGGTCCTGCTCATAATTAGACCAAAAAGACACTATGATACGACTAATAATTAAGCCTAGCTGCAGGATTACTATTTCCAAATTCATGCTTAATTTTAAATGCATGTATCTGTGTGAATATAAATACACATAGGTGATAATTAAATGTAAAAAAAAGTTTCAAAAAAGTGACGAGACGGCGGCTTCGAACTCAGGGCCTTTAGAATTAGTACCAATCGCTCTACCAACTGAGCTATGGTGACAATGTGAATTTGTATTACTTAATAGTACTCTTTATAGATAACCTATTAATTTCAACATGCATGACTGTTTCCAAACATGACACATAGTCAAATATGTTTTCCTATTCAAGTAATGAATTGTATTGTGTCATTGTGTGTGATTTTGAGATGTGATTTTGTGACTAAATTATTTTCTGCATCTCTGGTTTGGGACAAAATTACGTCCACAAAATGACACATTCAAGCATAAGTGTGTGAATAGTTTTCAGCATTTGCAACTTTCACGCATTTTGCATAATTACATTCACTCATTTTTTTGATGAAGGATTATTACTTTACAGTACAAATTACAGTGTATAATTGCTACTTTGAAAGTTGCTTAACATATATTGGTAATCACAGTCATAATCAGACAATCAATTATAACACATGATTGAATATAATAAAAAGTGCTTTAAGTACAATTAAAGTACACAGTGTTCAACAGGTATAAAAATCTATAGATTTTTTTAAAGTTACACATTTATGTCTGTTTATTTAAAAAAAAGTTAAGCAAACTAAAATAAAAATGAGTGTTCATGATAAAAAGCATCAATCCCTACTATTCACACCCATCAAAATACGGGGCCTAACCCTCAAGAACCGTATCGGCGCATCACCAATGGCTACGTGGCAAGCGGTAGATGGTATAGCGAATGATTTTCACCTAGCACACTACGGCGCATTTGCCCTGGGTGGTGCCGGACTGGTTATGGTAGAAGCCACCGCTATCGAGCCCAGGGGTCGCGGCGCCAAAGCCGGAATTTCCATCTATAATGATAAACATGTCGACGCGTTGAGTCGTATTACCAAGCTCATTAAGTCACAAGGAGCCGCACCAGCCATACAACTGTTCCACTCGGGTCGTAAGGGTAGTACAGCTGAACCCTGGGCTAACATTAGACACCAGTTAACGGATGATGAAGGTGGTTGGGATCTTATAGCTCCCAGTGCTATACCGTTTGGCGATGGTTTGGATAGAGTGCCAAAAGAGGCCACACTTGAGGACATAGAAGTACTGCAACAGGCGTTTGTGTCGGCGGCGCTCCGGGCGGTAAAGGCTGGCTTTGAGGTATGCTTTATAAATCATATGTTGTGTAATAAATTTATATTAACATTAAGTTATGCTTGTCTTAAAATAATCAAGGTGATTGAGCTTCATTATGCACATGGCTTTCTGGTCAGTTCATTTCTATCGCCTATTAGTAATCAACGCACCGACCGATACGGCGGTTCACTCGAGAATCGGATGCGCTTCGGCTTAGAGACGGCTCGTCGGGTGCGGGAAGTGATCCCCAAATCAATGCCACTGTTTGTGAGGATTTCGGTCACGGATTACGCGGACAACGGATGGGATGTCAACGACAGCGTAGAGT